AGCAGAGCAGTAATTTATTCAATGTTTTATTACCTTGATTAAGAAAGTTTTCAAACACACAGAACAGTATCTGCCACCAAAAAACAGGTTACACTATTTTCTTCCAAGTCATGCCCAGCAGCAGAGAGCTGATAGACTCTGAGAACTGGTGCAGGGGGTAGACCACGTGGGTGGCCCAGTGCCTGGTCCCCTTGGTAAGAGGAAACTCGGAGGGTCACAGAGGCCTCCTTTCGTGACAACCCTTAAATAACTCATCTGTTACACCAGAAACCGGGGGTCGTTCTAGCCACCCAAAAGTGTCAGGTGGGGTCTGAAAAACCTTTCATGCCCTTTCCGGGACACGTCAGTCAAAGGTGATGACTCGCTCGGGTGTTAACCAGAATGTTCCATATGCTCCCCCTGTGAACCTAAGGCTGCACGCTGGTAAGCCTGGCCATGCGTGCCCTGTTGCTCCAGGTCGCTGCGGTAGCTCCCTTACGAAACGAGGGGAGGAAGAGAGGAGGCATGCCCACAGAAGTGTTTCTTCCTTCAGGTCCTAACCTGCCAGAAAGCCCACAATCCTCTGAGCTCCCAGGCCACCTGCCCCGAGCACCGGTATCCAGGATACCGCATGAAGCTGCTGCTCTTTCAGCAGGCCCTCACTAGCCGGGCTCGAGTGGACGGCTGCACGCTAATGAGTTGTGTGCCCCAGCCAGGGAGAGGCCCCATCACGTGACTCTGGGATCAGCTCCCAGCGCCACCGACTGCTGTGCACAGATCAATTTATCCAGATCCCGGCGGCCTGCCTGGTGTCCTGTCAACCCAGGGTTTATTTGTTCTGACAATTACGGCCTTCACCTGGAAGCCTTCATTGCGACCAGGGCTGATTTGAGGGAACCTTGCAATGAAAGGACCTCGAAGCTAAAGGGTGGGTTGACTCTCTTCCTGGAGGATGGGCAGAAGAAGCGGGAGTGACCCAACAGCCAAGTCAGCTGCTTTGCTGGGACCTGTCCTAACTCGACCACGTTGGCATCACCCATTTTCTGAAGCGCTGCTCACTGTCCCCATGACGATGACTTATGTCATCCTATTGCGGTGACCTGCGAGACGTCGGGAAACGACCATCCTCACTGAACACTCGGGGAGCCTGAGCTTGGAGAGGTTAAACTCCAAGTTCAATGAACACGAAGTACTAGACTTGAAACTCAGGGCTTTTGCTTCCTGGCCTGCTGGGAAGATTCCAAGGGCCTCTACAAGCAGGCTGCAATCCAGCCGTGACCAGCACGCTGTTGTCCCTTCTGTTGGGGTCAAGGAGGCTAAGGACAGTCTCCTAGCTGGCAGGGTGGCCTCTTACACGGACGGCCCCCACTGTCACCCAGAGAGAATGGCGAAGACATCGGACAAGTCTTGTCTGCCCGGTACATTTCTTGGTTTATTTTTCTTCCACTAGAAACAGGAATGTTCGAGGGACAGCCCACCCATTCCCAAACAAAATCAAACTGTTTTCGTTGGACAATTCTGTTAAGCGGCTATAAGCCGAATGCCATTAACCACAAAATGTAACCATAAAGGCCATAAACCCGACATTGTTAATTAATTAAATGCCTCATTAACTTTTTAAAAAACATGATTTATTCAATTCATAGAAAATGTACCCATCACCACGAAATGCACAAGCATTTTAGCCTAAGGAGCAGAAGCCTCTTTAACCAGGAAGGATGAGTTAGAGTGTAGCCGGCCTTTCAAGGTGGTCTATTTAACACAGAGCTGGAGAGGGTGTTTCTAAACCTCGAGAACCAGATTAACATGACATGAAGCTCAGACCGCCCTTTTAGTGCATGTGGTGTCCTTAGCTGAGCAGCAAGCAACAGTGGTAAAGACCGCCATCCGGAGAACCCCACCTTACCCCAGTTCAGCAACTGGCCTTCTTTCAAAGGTTTACATGACCCCATCGGAATGGCCCACCATCCCCGCATGTCCAATTCTGCCTAAAGAAATCTCAGAAAGCTAGATTCCAAGTTGGAAGTTTGCATCTAGTAAGCTCAAGTACTGGCATCAGAACTGGTGACCGGCGAAATGTACAAACTGAAATTGACATCTGAAGGACAAAACAAGTGGTCCTTACGGAACATGAACGCTCTCAAGGTTTCATGTGTCATCAAAGGCACGGTAGCCTAAAAAAGTATGGCTCAAGTGCCCCTTGGCCTGGGCTTTGGACCCACGAGCTATATGAAAACCACCAAAATGGAAAACTTCCTCAGAGGCCCCACAAGGGTCTCTTGAGGTCTCTAGTGCCAAAGGGGTGAGACTGGTCAAAGGCCAGGCCGGGGACAGGACCTCCATCTTCCAGGATCAGCAGAGCCGCCTGCCCTCCCTTCTGGTGCTGGCTGGAAGCACGAGTCTATTTTCTCAAAATGACTCGTCACGAGCGGCCCTGCTGCTGGAAGGAACTGCTTGGCACGCTGCGCCTACCCTGTCCTAGGTGGTGTTGCTGTCAGCTTGTGGGAAACCGACTGGCTGCCACCTGGAGACTGGCTGCCACTTGGATTTAATCCGCAAGTAACTGAGCTAATTACCAAATCCTTCCAGAGTTCTCTCCAAAATAATCCAGAGATCTCAAACAGCGTCGTGGTGCTATAAACAATGGCACATGTAACCAAAACTACGTTTCAAAGGACCCTCCCCATGGAAGGAACTTACTTTCCAAGTTCCGACCCACTCAGTCATGCCGCAGGGATGGGCTCTCGTTCATGGGGAGACAGTGGCTGACTAGTCTCACCAGGTAGGGTGCAGGGCACAGTGGCTAGCAGCGGAGAGCTGACAGAGGTGCGGGGGACCCGCTCTAGCCAGATCCTGTGCACGCCCCCCACCCCCACTCCCAGACTCAGGCCAGCATGGGTCCTGCCATCCCAGTGCTCCTGCACACCTCCATGGGGCTCAGCTTGCTGAGCCACGTTTTATTTTCACCATTCAACTCCCAGCGGGCTGATGCCAGCATTAAAAAATGCCTCTGCCCTGTGGGCTATTACATCACAATTTCAAATGACAAGTGTGTGGTGGGGGAGATGCACAGGGGCAGAGGGAGTCGTCTATCTCCAGGTTTGGAACTGTAAAAAGGGCAGTTCCGATGCGAGCTTAGTCCTGGAGAGGAGCTAGGGTTCAGGGGACTGGGGGTGGAGGGAGAAGGCTGGGCTTTGGAGCCAGGCTGCTGGATTGATTATTATCGGCCCAAGTCATCTAAGCCCTGTGGGACTCAGTTTGCTCGTCTCAAAGTGGGGACAATACTAGTTATTACCACACAGAGATGATGAGAAGGTGACATAAGAGTTAGCTCAGGAAGAGCACAGTTGCATGGGCAGTCAACATACTCCACCCGTCAGAGGTCTGGCTAGGAGGAGGGAAGGGGAGGGGAGGGGCCATGAGTTTGGGGGAAAGCCTGAGTTGGAATCCCTCCTCTTCCTCTTCTTCCTCCTCAGCCCTGAGGCTGCCTTGCCCTCTCTCAGAAACAGACCACTCAGGTCCACCCCCTGCTTCATGGCTCGCCTGCACCCCGACCTGCACAGCCCAAACAGAGCTAATAACTTCTCTTTCCCCTGCTAATCAGAATCCAAAAGGGCTCATTAAAATTCCCCCAGTCGCCAAGCCCAGGGTTGTGTCAGATTTTATATCAGAGATAAGTGAGCGAGACTGGAGGAGGCCGAAGCAGCCTACCTGCCTGAACACGAACTGAACATCAGAGAGGTCTTTCTTTTCACACCGCGACTGAACGAGGCACCAAAGAGACAGCGGCGAGCGGGCGAG